CCTAATAATATAATAATATAGTATACACTAATATTTTGTAGCTTAAAATTTATTGTAATTACAATTAATACTTAACAAAAACATTATTAGAAGACACCTAGATCGACTAGAGTTAAAGCTTTGTTGTTTTTTACCCTCTTTAACATTAATAACTCCTTCCCTCTTCTCCTTCCTCTCTCTATATCTTCCCTTTGTGGTATATAATACACAGCAACCCAACAATCAAGAAGATCAGATCATGGTGGGGTTTTTTATTTTCTCCTTATCAAGAATCCTCTGATCAGTCAAATACCCATCAATCAAATCAAATCCCCCAAACACTCCCAAAAAAAGAAGATCAGCTTCCAATTTCTAAGCCCCCCAAAAAATGTCTATGTCTTCTATGTCTTCTCCTTCCTCAGCTGTTTTCTCACCGGACCACCTCTCTCCTTCCGAACATCTCTGCTATGTCCAATGCAACTTTTGCGACACCATTCTCGCTGTATATATAAATAATATTTTCTATACTTTCTCCATCTTCTTGATCTCCTCCTCATTTTCTTGATGTATATACAATTAGAGGTTTTTTTAATTCTGTATTTTCTTATGTTATGTAGGTTAGTGTTCCTTACACAAGCTTGTTCAAGACCGTAACTGTCCGATGTGGTTGCTGTACCAATCTTCTTTCGGTGAACATGAGATCTGTTGTCCTCCCTGCTTCTAATAACCAGCTCCAGCTCCAGCTCGGTCCTCATTCTTACTACAATACCCAGAATATTCTGGTAATTTAACAATATCTATATACACAATCTTTTATGTAAAGTCTCAAGTATATATATCTCAAAAGGCTCAAAGATATGTATATTATTATGTAGGAGGAGCTGAGAGATGCACCATCAAACATGAATATGATGATGATGAATCAACATCCTAATATGAATCATGACATTCCATCTTTCATGGATCTTCATCAACAACATGAGATCCCTAAAGCACCACCAGTTAACCGCCGTAAGATACTATTCTCCTTCTCATTCTCTTTGGTTTTTTAACTTCTTTTAATTCATAACCATGTTTAGAATTTGGTTGTAATATTGATGAATTATTGCCAGTAAGACATGCATAGCTTTTCTTGTTTAACAGTAACTAGATCTTGTTCAAACCCTAGCACCATTGAAATATTACTCACCTATGCGTAGAAGAAGATTTAATAGATAGTTTTTGGTAAATTTTAAAAGTGTTCATGGATAGATCAATGAGCTTATATGTATGTGGCGATTGTCAATGTATCTTGGATGGCTTTTAGTGTTTGTAAACATTAAAAAGAATGAATATAAAATCACAAAAGGGAATGATAGATTCATGGATCCCCCGGAAATCTAGAGAGAAAGAATCTAAGTAATATGTTAGAAGATGGGTTTGTCTTCATGATGATGAAGTGATGATGGGTTAT